TCACTGGGTAACACATTAGCATAATCCCCGCCTGCCCGCGAAATACGAACACTCTCTGTGTCGAGAAGATGCTGTGTTCCACGATACCACAGCAATACAATTCAAACCTTTCGTTGTGCTCGTTAATTTACAGAGGACTGCTTCTCTAATCTTGCCTTTTATCTTCGTTGGCTTCTAATCTTCTTTATTTGGACCAACAAGCGTCTCCGAACCACAACCTGTAAGTACGACTGATACGGTATGTGTACATTTTCAATTGAGTGCTCAAAATATCTAGGTGTTTTTTTGTGCTATTATGTGATGTATACCTAGTGCAGCTCTAGGTTTCTAGGTAAAGCACAATATTACTGTCTTACTGAAATAGTTCTGATAATTCGCTGTGAACTCACTATTTCCTAAGAATGTGTCGATTAATGTAGACTGTCGTTGTTCTTATTACTTCGTTTAATAATAAATAATGTAGTGTAGCGCACAGACTTTATAATCATTGTGAAAGTGCTGTTTATGTAGTTATAGAGTTAATGCAGAGAGTAAAAGGACCCAGCAGAGAGAGACGAGTTAGTTAGGCTGGTGCGCATGTGATACAGCTGTTCTGCGTTATAATTAAAGGTTAAGACACGGAGCGTCTTTTGTCTGTTGTTCTTCAGACATTACAGGAGATATATTTTGGTTTTCAAACTGTATTGTTTCATCAGTTAGTCACGTTAGCACTCGGCTAACGTAGCCACCATTATTGTTTTGATAGTGTTTACAGTTTAGCAGCTAAACTTTAGCTGTGGGCACGATTCGCTTGCATAAGTGTTAAACTAAATGTTTTTATGTCATTATTTTAAGAACTGTTTGGAGCACTATATTATTGTTTTATATAAATGTGCATGCTAGGGTTGCCAGGTTGTCACAACAAAACCTGCCCAATTGCTACTCAAAACTAGCCCAATCGCGTTTCGAGGGTGGTCCCCCTTTAAAAATCGTGTTCTGGGGTGTAAAATACACGATTTCAGTCAGGGTTCCCCTGGTAAATTTGCATTCCAGTGCCTAAATATGACGTTATTTGGGTAGCTACAACCCACGACATCAAAAACAACCGTGGACTTGGCAACACAGATGGTAGCTCTCGCTAACTTGCTCAAGCGCTCCTCTTTGTGCCAATCACAACAGGCTTGGCCAGCTGACCACTCAGAGCAGAGTAGGCTTATGGAAGGGAGGGGCTTACAGACATTTCGCGCAGAACTGAATCAAACGAGCCGTTTCAAAATCATGGACAAATTACTCTATGTATAAATGTATATTCTGGGGAAATTACAGTGTTTTCTGACCTTAGATGCATTTAAACCTGTTGTAGGGGACTCCAACACAATATTAGGACACTTTAAAAAAACATATGACCTGCTCTTTAATGCTTCAGCATACCAAGACATTTTAAACACTACATTCTCATCCAACATCAGTGCCTGACCTCACAAATTCTCTACTGGTTGAATGGGCAGAAATTCCTACAGAAACACTCAAAACTTTCCAGAAGAGTGGAAACTGTTATAGCTACAAAAGGGGGACCATCTCTATTTTAATGTCTGTAGTGTACTTGGAATGTTATTAAAATCCCATTTGTTGTAATGGTCAGGTTTCCCAATGTAACAGAGTCCGCTGAGGCAAGCCGAACTGAACCCAAGTGCAGTTTATTGAACAGAGTGAAATCCAAAATACAAACAAAGACTAGACTTGACTCGACTTGGCATGAACAGAAACATGAACTAACCAACAGATGTTACAGGAACAAAGCTAGACAAGAGATAATGGCAACATGAGGGATATATATACACCAAACAATGAGGGTCACATGACATAAACCAACCAATGACAAAATAGAACTAGAAACCACATGACTAGACTAAACCAATGAAAACATGACACATAAACAGGTAGCACAAGAGGATACAGGGAAGCACATGAAAACAAGTCTATGACAAATTTCAAAATAAGAGACATGAAAACAATGAAGGGTCACATGACATAAACCAACCAATGACAAAAAAGAACTAGAAACAACATGACTAGACAATGAACCAGTGAAAACATGACACAGGACAGGAAACTAGGGCTGAGTAGGCTCTGGAGTGGATTCGTAGTCTTGAGCAGGGTCAGGAGCGGATTCATGGACTGGAGCAGGCTCTGGAGCAGATTCATAGACTTGAACAGGCTCTGGAGCAAATTAATGGACTAGATCAGGCTCTGGAGCGGATTCATGGACTGAAGCAGGCTCTGGAGTGGATTCATGAACTGAAGCAGGCTCTGGAGCGGATTCATGGACTGAAGCAGGCTCTGGAGCAGATTCATGGACTTGAGCAGGCTCTGGAGCAGATTCATGGACAGGAGAGGCCTCTGGAGCACAGTGTGCAGCCCACACACTCAAGATGCCAACTGCCATCACGGGCAGCACAGTAGACAGAGGAAGGACAGCCGGGTTTGACAAGGCTGCCATGATGGCTAGAGACTCCGACGTGGTGGCCGTGACGTGGAGAGGCTCTGGTGTGGTGGCCGTGACATGGAGAGGCTCTGGCAAGACGACCGTGGCGTGATGAGGCTCTGGTGTGGTGACCATCTTGGCTGAGGACTCAGGCGTGGCGGCCATCCTGGCTGGTGACTCAGGCGTGGTAGCCATCTTGGCCGGGGACTCGGCGGTCACTGCATGATCGTGGGGTCCCTCATCCACAGTGCCAACGGTAAATGAGGAACCACTAAATTGAAGGGCATAGTCAATGTATTGGGCCAAGGAAAAAAAAATTTTTTTCTCCTGGCAGTCTTGAACAAATGGGTTCATTTAAACCCACTCAAAAAATGTCTTTGAGTGACATGTCATTGAAGTCCACTAAGTGGCACAAATAAAAAAAATCCTCCACATAGTCCTCTTGTCACGGTGTGCCTACTGTGAGGAGCGATGAACTAGGAGCGAGGAACGAGGAACGAGGAGAACGCAGGAGAATCAAGATCAACAGTCTTTTATTGACATCTAGGACATCACACGTAGGACACGGAATCAATGTTCAAGACAGCATGCCAGACACTAGGAAACACAGGGTTTAAGTAATAAGGGAACTAATGGGACACACCTGGGATCAAATGATCATAATAAGGACAGGAACGGGAAGGACCAAATAAGGGCATAGGAGGAACACGGGGGAAAAACCATGGAAAAAATCATGGAGCACGTGGGGAACAAAACACAAGACACAGGACTGGCATTACTCCCCCCTCCCCGAAGGCGCGTCCACATGCCACACAACATCCAATCGGACTGGCTCAGGACTGGCTTACACTGGACAGCAGGCCTTCAGAGTGGCACCCATTTCGGGCACCATGGCGGAGCAGGCAGACTAGGAGGCCATGGCGAAGCAGACAGTTCAGGGGGCCTGGCCTCGGCACTCGGCCCGGCCTCCATGGACGGACCCCTACTACACCCCCAAAAAATCCTTGGGGAGAATGTCGTTTCAGAGGTCCTCCCTGGGCTTGACTTGGGGACTGGAGCCCTCCTTGGGCTGGATGTGGGGACTGGAGCCCTCCTTGGGCTGGATGTGGGAACTGGAGCCCTCCTTGGGCTGGACATGGGGACTTGAGCCCTCCTGGGGCTGGACATGGAGCCCTTTCTGTGCTAGATTTGGGGACCGGAACCCTCTCTGGGCTAAACTCGGGGACTGGAGCTCT